CTTTTGTTAAAAATAATTTTTCTAACAGGGGGCTTTTTCTTGGAAATGTTTTCATGAGAGCAAAGAAAAAAGTGAGTAAATAAGCTCTACTTTTGTAACTCACTGTAGTGGAACATGCATTTGTGAGAACTTAAGAGAAATATTGTTTCCTAGATTCCGAGAACATCTCTGCTTTTCCACATTTATTCCCAAGAGAAGCAGTAAAGCACAGTGTAAAAATATATAGAATTTGGGTCAGACAGACTTGAGCATTTCCTCACTTTCTGGAACTACAAGATGCTCCAGGCTTCTCTGGTATAATCCCGGCTCCAGTGCTAGAACCAGCCTTTTCTCGAAGGAGCCCTGGTTTCTTTTATTAGAGAATAATATTAGAGAAAGATCTAAGTGCTAGGTATATACAGAAGTTTTCACATCTGTAAATTGAAAAGATAATATATTTCTCATAGAGTTATAAGAACATTAAGTGAAATAACACATACAAATATATACTGAACCAAGGGCTTGAAACATAGGAAGCTATATTATATTTTATATAAATATATTATATACATATAAATTTATCAGAAGCCGAAATAGAGAAATCCTTCACTTCTTGTGGGCACCATGTTAAAATTCATTTAAAACCAGGTTGATTGGGAAAAAAATTCCTGGAAATGTTTTGATTCACAGAGCTCTTTGAAACTTTGAGTTCTGTAGACAGAGCTGGGTTTGGGAAAATGGAGATTCTGATAAAATTTATCATTTGTAATCTGACATTTTGAAAATTTCTCCCCAAAGGGCCAACTTGCAATAATCACAGGAAATCTGTGGGCTGAGTGCGCAGTGGCTGGATCCTCAAGCTCCTTTGAAAGCATTTTTTGACAGAATTTGCTCATCAATAATCTTAGCCTGTGACTAGAAGAACCAGGACTCCCCTGTGTCCCCTAAGGGATCTTCGAGGTGCCTCCATATCATAATAATGTTTCAGTTCCCTCAGGAAAGTGGTGTTTTGATTGCTTGTTTGTATGTTGCTGAGCCTTGGATTGGAATTGAGACCTTAGGGAACCCCCCTTCAGAGGCTCCCAGATCTACATAGGCACTAGTTTCTAGCTGATCTCAGACTTTTCACACAGTTTGGTATGGCTCACTTACAGTCTCAAGCAAACTGCAGCGGCAGCTGAACTGCCTTTACACTTTTATCACATAGCCTCAGGAAATCTTTCACTATTTGAAATCCAAGGTCCTCAGAGACCAACAGCTCTTCTTTTCTTTTCTTTTTCAGACTTCAAAAAGTCCAATGTTGAAGCAGTTCTGAATTGAGATCTCATAATTCCCAAGGACATAGGTATGTTTTCCCCGACCTTTTTAAAAAGCAGTATTCTTCACACTGTAGGTAGAAATAACGGGTTCGTCTAAAAAAAAAAAGAGGCTCGGAAGTAGGTATATAAAAAGATTCTTTATTCAATTTCCCCCAACCTCCTCTGCTACATTTCACAGGAATAGAGACAGAAGTTTCCCATAAGTAATTCTGGGTTACCTTTAATTAGACACCCATTGCCATAGTCATTGCTAGATGGGGTGTTGCTACCAACTGGTGTTAACAAAACCTGGGAAATAACTTCACACGATTGGCCTACAGTTTAATAAAAAGATTGATTAATTAGCTTCTATGGAGCACCTGCTAGAGGTCACACACTGGCTGAATTTTCTTATATTTTATCTTACTTTATCTTCTGTCTATAAAGGAAGATTGACTTGCCTACAGTCCCACAGCAAGTAAGCATTAAAGCTCTTATTCTAACTCAACTGCTGAGATTCTAATTCACTCATCCACTTGACAAATAGTTGAGTCTACTGTGTGGCTGCCTCGAGTGTAGGTAGTGGATAATAATGCACAAAACACTGACAAACAATATAGGCCTTGTCTCTTCCCTTATGGAATTTATTCCATTGAGAATCTTCTTTAGAACTCCCCAAACAGGGCTGTTATGACTGGGGGTGATGCTTCAAACCCCTTTAGAAGCAATTTTGATGGAACTTTTTATTTCCAAGCTATCTTAATGGCTTAGACTTCTCCTTATCTCTTTATAACAATAATAATTTCTTAAATTTTAATGCTTTTTCAGTTTTTGACTTAATATTTCAACCTTAGGTATTTCAGTATTCAACCTTAGATATTTTAAAGATATTTTTTCTCTTTCAAGACTCCTTCTGATATTTATTTTAGGCCCATGCAGAAAAGCCTGGGTTTTGCAGGACTTGAGTGGGAGGAGATATAGCAGCGGCAGTGGCAGGATTTGGATTCAGGCCTTGCAGCCTCCCAGGGTTGGTGCTGGGTAAATGAGGCCTTTTCTCTCGGCACTGACTCCAGATTTCTCCTTGCTGCACTGGATCTCAACACATTTATTAACAGAGACTGCAATGCGTAATAGAAAGGGTTGCCCATCAAGGGAACACAGAAAGAAGTACCTTGAAGATTAATTGCTGATAGATGAAGATGGCAGTCAGCGGCAGTTCAATATGGTGTGTGGGGGGTGTGTAATGGCTTTTAAAAACTGAACCTACAGCTTAAGTGAATAGACTCCTGTGGTCAATATTAACCAACGAAATTGATCTAATAAGCATTCGAGAAGATATTTTGGAAAAATATTCAGAATCCACCCTAAGTCAGCTGAATTTTATTCTTGGAGTTTTTCCAGGTTTTCATCCTACCTTGTGTCTAGGAAAAGGTTGGTTTACGATATGGGAGGGCTAATATCTCTTTAGTCAAAGGACCACAGTACTTAGCAAGCAGTTATCCCTTCCTGGGATCCCTCTGCCAATAAGCAGCAGTATTTGGCCAGAGTTCTAGACTTTAAACCAGTCGCTTCACCTCACTGAGCCTCAGTTTCTTCATGTCTATATCTGCTGTCTCTCTCTCTCTCTATCTTAGTCATGCAATAATTAAGAAGTGAATGCAAAAAGAGTTTTATAAACTGTAGAACCACTGTTTTTTATAAACTCGAGAACAGCGGTTCTCAGTCAGGGGAATGTTACCCTTCAGGGGACATTTGGCAACATCTGGAGACATTTTTGACTGTTACAAATGGGAGGTAGTGGTGTTACTAGAATCTAATGAGTACAAAGAGGCCAGGGAAACTGCTAAATATCTTACAATGCACAGGACAGCACTCCTTCTTGCCCACCACACTCTGAACCAAAGAACTGTCTAGCTCATAATGTCAGTAGTGCTGAGGCTGAAAAATCAGGCTCTGGAATTGTACAGATTTTACAGTTAAGTAGTTATGTGACCTCGAGGGGCACCACATCCTTCTGTTTCCAAATATGTAAGATCAGAACACTGCCTGTCATAGATTACAGGATATTGTGTCTGCTAAAATTAGAGAGTATACACACATGTCAGAAGTCAAAAGAAAAGTCAAAAAGGCTGGATAAATATAATGGAAAGTGCTACTGGTCAGAAAGTCAATTGGTACATTACTGGATAGTAATGTACCAAGCTGACTGAGCCACTAGCCACATCGTGTGTGTGTAGTGGTCATCCAGAAATGACAAGCTACCTTATCCCCTTCTTTTTGTGTCACCAATCGAATGGCTGCTGTTACTCTTCAAGGTAAGCGAAAGTCCAGCAGAGTTGAAGCATCTTTCTCCTTTAATTCCTGTTTTCTCCTTTTTCCTCCTCTCTTCTAACATTTTCTCCCTCATTTCTTCTGAGCCTGCTCCCACTCACTCTGCTGCTAGGAGTGGGGAAAGCCTGTGAGCACCTGAGGTTGAGGAACAAAAATAGGAGAGAAAGAGTGCTCTCAAATGAGGACACAAGCCTGTCTCCAGGCCTGACCATCTGCAAACTCACTGTTACTCCTGAATATTTTTCATACGACAAGTCTAAGCTAATATTTTGGCCCAAAGCACAAGCCTGGTAGACAAGAGGACAATAGGCGGTTTGTTGTGGAATTAAAGAGCGTGAAAAATGTTTCTATACTTTCCTATTGATGTTCCGTTCGATTCACCAAATATTTATATATATGTGTGAGGGGCCATGATAAGGTGGGTGGACCAGAGAGGATGAAGACAGTTACCGTCCCAAGGGGCTTAGAGCTAGGCGAAGAGTGAGTGGTTGCCCAACTAATTGTACAATAATCAGCTAAGACTCAAGTGCTTTGAGGAGGCAGAGAAAGGAGGACTTAACTGTAATTAGGGTCTACAACAGACTTCTGATAAGGGGTGAAAAAAGACACATGCATATACACAGATACACAAAAACATTTGTATATATCAAATTTGTAGTTCCATATTAAACATATATATAAATACATCCTCATATTTAAATATACCATACTCCCTTTCAGTTGAACTACTGTTGAGGGATTAATTTATAAAGGCTTCAAAAGTTGTGGTTAAGATCTTTGGATTTAGTATCAAACAGACCTTGAGGGCACCACCACCTTGTCCTGCCAACACCTTGATTTTGGCCCAGTGAAACTGATTTGAGACTTCTGGCCTCCTGAACTTTGAGAGAATAAACTTGTGTTGTTTTAAGGAAAAATAAATTTAGAAAATCTTTAGTGAGGCTATACTATTGGAAGTAGAATGTGGAAGACATTGAGTGATGGATGTTTTTATTTTTAATAATTAAATGCATACAATCTTATATTCATATCATAATTTGTATTTATATCATGTAAATATGTTAAAGGATTCAAGATGAATGTATGGACTTTGGATTCAGAAATATAAAGGGGTGAACTTTGATTGTGACTGTTAAATAGACTATCTTGCTCAATATTCAGCTCCCTGAGCCTTAACTTTCTTGTCTGTAAGATGGTCATAATAGCACCTATCTCATATGAATTAAAAGCTATAATTTAACAGAGGGTTCTAGCATGAGTCTTACACACAGTACGTTCTCTCTCTACATTAGTTTTCTCCTTTTTTATCATCCCATCATCCCTTCTCATACTTTCATTTGAATTTGGTTGATGCCTCTTCTTTAATCACCAGGCTAATTCAAGTTGACCACAATGGAGAATAGAACAGAAGTGACAGAGTTTATCCTCTTGGGATTAACAGATGACCCCAATCTTCAGATACTCCTCCTCCTGGCATTTTTATTCATCTACCTCATAACCCTGCTTGGGAATGGAGGAATGATGGTGATCATCCACTCAGACTCCCATCTCCACACTCCAATGTACTTTTTCCTCAGTAACCTCTCCTTTGTAGACTTGGGTTACTCATCAGCTGTAGCCCCCAAAACAGTGGCTGCATTGCAGTCAGGGGACAAGGCCATCTCCTACAATGGATGTGCAGCTCAGTTCTTCTTCTTTGTGGGGTTTGCCACTGTTGAGTGCTACCTCCTGGCCTCCATGGCCTATGACCGCCATGCAGCGGTATGTAGGCCTCTTCATTACACCACCACCATGACAGCAGGTGTGTGTGCTCTCCTTGCTACTGGTTCCTATGTCTCTGGCTTCCTCAATGCCTCTATCCATGCAGCAGGCACCTTCAGACTCTCCTTCTGTGGTTCTAATGAGATTAATCATTTCTTCTGTGACATTCCCCCACTCCTGGCTCTCTCATGCTCTGACACGCGCATCAGCAAGTTGGTGGTCTTCTTTGTGGTGGGCTTCAACGTCTTTTTCACCCTCCTGGTCATCCTCATTTCTTACTTCTTCATATGCATCACCATTCAAAGGATGCGTTCTGCTGAAGGGCGGAAGAAAGTCTTCTCCACCTGTGCTTCCCATCTCACTGCTGTGTCCATCTTCTATGGCACAATCATCTTCATGTACTTACAGCCCAACTCCAACCAGTCCATGGACACAGACAAAATAGCCTCTGTGTTTTACACAGTGGTGATTCCCATGCTGAATCCCTTGATCTACAGCCTTAGGAACAAAGAAGTGAAAAGTGCTCTCTGGAAAATACTCAACAAGCTTTACCCCCAATATTAAGTGTGAATGGGAAGTAGGCAAGCAATTAAGGGATAAACTTTCTCTCACACCTAAATGCCATCATGACTTTTAATGTTTGGCTGGTTTCAGTTCTTTCTTCCCCAAGAACAGCGGTTACTTCTGCTATTAGAAGATGTAAAAAGCAGCACGTTGAAAAGTCTTACTTAGAAAGATAATCATATATTTAGTGAACAGCAGCATGAGACAGTTGAGCTTTTCTTGCTTTAGTTTCTTGATGTGTTTTAAAGCAGAAGATTGAAGGATATAACTGAATGTACTGAATTTTCCTCATCCTATTTTTAATTGTAAGGATTTTTCATTCACTATTAAACTTGGTATAAAGATTTCACCTTCATTTATAATATTGATCAACTGAACATGCAGTATTGTTTTTTATTCCTTTGTTCTGTGAGTTTGAAAGTTGGACTTCCTAATGTAGACAAAGGATGGTTCAATATTTTAAATGATATTTCAGAGGAAGTTGTAATTTAAAGGACAAGGCACTAGATCGAGTCAGGTGACTGAAGATTACATCTTTCCAACTCTCTACTCTCCCTTCTCTACCCATATTCCTACCCTACTTGCTAGTCATGTGCCTTTGCAATTTCCATTCCCTTTTGCTAAAGCATTGGGGAAACAATACACCTTGTTGTATACGTAAGTATGGAAATGCTTTAATAGATGAATTAGTTAAATTTGAACCTGACTAAATATAACTTCCTTTGGAGAGCCTACACTATCTTTTATGTTTCTTGTCTCTGTCTAACATCATTACCAAAATTTCCAGAAGGTTTAGAGAAAAAAAACAATTTTCCCTAGTGCTCTAAAAAAATATATTTGTTTTCTGAATCAAATGCTTGCATTTCTTAGCACCCTTAAGTTTGGCAAATCTATTATGAAGATGCGTAATAGCTTTCTGGATTGTCTTTGCTTTTATTTTTTCAATAATTCAGCTCACCTCTGGGTCTCCATTGCATTCCAGTGTTCTGTAATTAGATGCTACAAGAATAAAAAAACCTGCCTGGAAATTTACTTCTTAGGAACAGCACGATGACGCACAGTGCTAGTCCACCTTCAGGACTTGTTTCATGTGCTAAATGGTGTGAGCGAATGTGTGTGCGTGGGAGGGGAGTGGTGATTAATTTCACTTTTCACATATCAACTGCTTGATGGTGTTTATAACTGCAATTAATCTAAGTCACCACAATAGGTCATGATTTCAAAGTCTCCCCAAAAAAACCCACAAATTAATTTTAACTTTATAGATGAAAACCAGAAATCTTGGTTGGCTAACTCAGTTGGCTTAAAATGCCAATTTAGTTTTGAGATTATTGGGCTCCATTATGTACAGGGCAGCCTCTGTCTGAGGAGGATAAATCATAAGCCTTCCAGGGAAAATTGCAAAGAAGGAGTTATGGAACATGAGAAACACGAGAATATCTTTCTCTAGCACACGGTTGCCATCACCTGAAAAGATCAGGAGCTTCTGAGCCTAAGGCCTGGACAACCTATACTTCCCCCATTCAGCCCCCTCCCTCCCCTCTTCTTTAGCAATGAGGCCCATCCAGCAACACGTGAGGAAGAACAGCCTTTACAGGCCAGGATCCACTGTATGGGAATCTTTCTCATTGAAAGCTACAGAGCTCAAGAGTATCTGCATTTGGAGAAGAGCCTAGGAAGTAGCTATCCAAGCACTGAGTGCATTCCAATCTCACCTACACATTTTCCCTACTTGATATAATTGACTTTTTTCCCTCCTCTTCCTGCTCCTCCTTCTTTACTTCCTTTTATCCTTCTCCTCTTTTTCCTTCCCATCTTCTTTCTATGCCCAGCCCAAGCAGGAACTTTCCTCACCACTAGGCCATTTAGATCTCTAAAAAAAAATTAAAATCTAGAGTCTATATATGATAACTATTACAGTATATATTAACATGTGTATCTGGGCATGTTTCTTTCTTTTATAATTTTAATTTTTATTTCATTAGTTTTGGGGGGTACAGGTTGTTTTTGGTTACAGGCATAAATCATTTAGTGGTGGTTTCTGAGATTTTAGTGTGCCCATCAACCGAGCAGTGTGCCCAATATATAGTCTTTTATTCCTCACCTCTCTCCCAACCTTCCCCCATCGAGACCCCAAAGTCTATTTTATCATTCTCATGGACACATTTCTTTATGCCTCTATACCTCAGTTTAGCAGGAAAGTGTGGTTCTCCTAAGAGTTAAGGGCCCAATGTCTACATATTTATATTTTATGTTGAAATCACCTCAAACAAGTGTTCCATCTGACTGTAAATAGGTATAAAAGAGTACTATCAAAAGCTGGATGAAAATTCTAACTGTTCTTATCAGTTGTATGACCTCAAGAAAGTCATTTAGTCTCACCGAACCCAATGTACAGGATAAAGTGTGAGGGTAATATGATATTAAGTATGTGAATGTGCCCATCATAATGAACGTGTATTTCATACCGTTGAGATTCCTATACTAGCTCTTTCTTCACTTAGCTGTCCCTGGACTTCTTATGTTGGCTCTTGAGATGCCTGAGCAAAAATGGGAAGTCCAAGGACAGCCAGGTGAAGCTCGTCCCATCCAAGTCCAAGCTTTTATTTTCATTCCTTGTTTAACTTTCTGCCCTCCAAGTTCCCAGCTCTACATTTCAAACTGACATTACACGGGTATTCATTTATAGAAGCTACTCAGAAGGAGATGTCTTGTCGCCAGCAAGACATCAATTCACAGAGTATACATTACTGTGAGGAGCTCTTCCCTTCCACATAGGAAATCTGTCAAATGGAGAGTAAATGCCCATTTGGTTAATAACAACACCCACTCTCTCCCTGCAGGAATTGTCTGATGAATGAGAGACCCTGTGTGTAGGGCCTGCCGCCCAATACAGTGCGATAAAGGCACAAGGACTTCCCACCTGAAATGTTCAAAAGAGAATGTGAAAACTCATAAATCAGGGCAGTTATTTATATCAGGATAGATTATTCTTTTACAAATGGATTATGATTGAATTATTCTAAATAGGATGTTCCCTTTGTACATTAGAGCATTTGTTGAGGTTTATGTATTGGGAATGGAAAATTAAAATATTAGATTCCTTGGCAACTGAAGCTGGAATTGCAGAGTCATAGACTCTTTAGCCAAAGAAAGAATTTAAAAATAATCTAAACCAATCCTCTCATTTTGCAATTAAAAACCCCTATTTTTACAGTTTAACTTGCTTAAACTCACAAAGAACCAAATCTTGTTTGACACTTTTTCATATTTTATAAAGTACTTGTTGTATAAAAAGACATTTTATATTTTTACCTTCATTTGTTCACCATGATATAGTTATTTGTGCTTCAGTTTTGCAGTAGAGGAAACCAAAGCTTTGAGAAGTTAACTTACCTGTCTACTGTTAAAAAGAGGAACTGAGGTATGAAACTGAGTTTTTGCCTTCCCTGACCAAGACTCTGAAAAAATAAGTCACCATGTATGTTACTAAATTTCAATGGAGGTCTTACTTAATGTGTGACTCGCTTACACTCTTTCATGATGAGTCCTTGCCATGTGGAAGGCACTCTGAAGAATACAAATAAGTAAGACTGTAAGATGTAATTCCTACTTCCACAAAGTAAAGCCCTCTGCATATATGTTTACTGATGTAATGCACCTTGAGGTTAATGGCTCAATGTTCAATAACTTTACCAACAGGAATTTTCCCAGTATTCCACAGAGCATGAATGGATCAGGGCATATTTGTTTTCAGTCTGATAGAGTTGGCTCTTTGAGTGCCACAGCCGACAGTGATAGCCAAGCCTCAACCAATGTTAACTAGACACAAGCTGCAGAAAAGGCATGGTGTGAAGTTGATGAAGAAACCAGTTGATATTCAATATTGTTCCTGCTTCAGGAGCAACTTAAAAATAACGTGGTGGAACAGAGGACATACCTCTAGGTAGATGATAGTTCAAAGGCATTTGTGGCCATTATCAGATGAGTAGTCTAGAAAATAATAATTAGAACTCATCAGGGGCAAAAAAGAATCCTATGGGCAGAGGAAGATCCTCAGAGGATGTAGGACGTGAGCCAAACTCTGAAAGAATAATGTAGAAGGAACCCAGAATTCCAAGATTCCAATCTTACTTTCTAGTCACAACTCTGCCAGTTGCCAGTGGTGAAGCTGGTATAAGCCACGTATCTCTGAGCTAATTTTCTTACCTTCAAAGTGAAGACAATAGCACCAGCCATACCTTCCTTAGGGTGTTTTGCAGGCTAAATGAGATAATGGGTGAGAAAGCATCTTCAAAATTGCTACCTTCTTTTGAACTATAGTGTTGCTGTTGGTAATAATATTATAAGCAGAGCTGAATGGGGAGTTCCTAAGCAACCATCTGAACTCAGGTATGGAGGTGGGATTGCAGATGGCATGTTGGCAGGAGCTTGTAGGAAAGTTGGCCTTTCAGATTAGAAGAGGGTGAACCATTAATGCCTCAGTTGGTTACTTCTACAGGCAATTGGAACTTCTTGTCATCAAACAAGGTGAAGAGACTGGGCCTTTGAGAGTAATTGCATCCCTATAGAGAAATCATACTTTTACAGAAAAATTTCTGTAGGATCTCACCAATCGGGTATCTAGATTCAAGCCCAAGAATTCTGCCTCCTCTTCATAACATGGAATTTCTCAGTTGTTAGTCTGTCATTATTTCACAAAGTGTGTAGGGGGATAGATAGGATATTTGTAGCATATTTAATTAGGAGAAAAAGTTATTGTATATACATATGCATATACACATGTGTGTGCATATTTATGTGTCTATATATACACACGTGTGTGTGTATGTGTATATTTTAAACTTTCTAGAAAACAGTAAGAAAAAAACAGATAACCCAATAGAAAATACAAAATTTAATTGTCCAGTCTAGTTTTTCATGTTCATTTATATGGCCTATCTACAGTTTGGGGTAGTGGTGAATTATGCTGATGTTAACATTTTGGTCATGTATCTTGG